ACATCTCCATAATGAGATGTATTTAGCCAAATATATATATATATATACATATACTCAAAATCGTAGACCATATTAAATCTACAACTTATATAAGATTACCATGTTCAAACACAATTTAATCAATTTAAAAATCCAAGAACATGTTCATGAAATTGAGGTTCTCGTATTGTCTCAATATTGAGCTGGATTTCCCAAAGATCTACCTGCTCTTGCTGCCAAGCCGCCAAACACCAAGGGCTGGCATGGGCTACACTTCATTTAAGAGCTTCTTGACATGTAGAAATGACGAACAGCATTGGCACGTATTCTGTTTCATTGGATGGGTTTGAGGGAAGATATACAGGAATCTGTTCGTACATCCCATATTTGATAGGAAACAACCATACTTTTCTGTTGACATTCTGATTATACCTTGATTTTGACATCAACATGAAAGATGTCACTAACCATCCCCAGTCTCCGATTGTTGGAGAGACTTTGGGAAGAACTGCCACAGTCGAGGGAAGGGGAACATTCATTGGGGATATCCAGGGATTGCCATCCTCCAAGGTCCATACCATACCCAGTTTTCTAGGTCAAATTCAAGATTTGTTCGTCAAACCTGTCTTTTGCACTTTGCCCTAAACTCCCCCCCATGTTCGTAAAACACAATACGTGAGTCTTTCGTTAAACTCTTAAACTGACTCTAAAGGTTTTGCGCTTTGTAATGGTCCTCAAACAATGTGCGCAGACACTGAAACAGGTATATGTATACATTCTTGAAACCAATTCACTGTACTACTGCCTAATTTATCCAATCATTTTATCAAAACGTCCGACGTTTGAATGGTCATGAATTAGGGTATGCTTCATTTTGAGACACATCATTTATATGTCCTTGGTACCCCCATAAAATGATTGGTTGTACACTTCCAGGGTTTGCACATAATTTATCAAACATGTCCAACGTTTTAATCACCAACGCGAATCCTTTTGTTGCTTTACACCCTCATAAGTTTGTCAAAACCCTGCTAAACCATGATCATTGCAATTTTTCATGGCAACCACTAACAAGTCCCTATTAAATCAGCATTAAGGGTGGTCCATACTATATATAAGACAAGACATCTAATATATAGTCATATGTATATATGATATCATATACTGTACATCAAGGTAAACTAACATAGATGTGGAAATTCAATTGATTGTTTGGACGATTTTCCTGGGCTTTCCCCATGGCTTTTCCACATCTATGGATTGACGTTTACTCCAGGGTAACCTATATATTTCTATCACCAACCATTTGATATTCCATTAAAAAATGTTATATCCCATATAATCCCGTAGCTACAACAGATATATAAAACCATTTTACAAGTGTATATATAATATATAATATATAATCACATATGGTCGTCGACAGAATTATGGAAATGGAAAAAAGGTTCGGCATGGGCCAGCAAACAACTGCGGCGCGCCGGGGCCGTATTTTTCCATAATTATTTTTTACTGATAAAAATGCACACATCAAAATTACGTAATATCTTGTAATCTGAACCTTTTTGGAAGGGGCGTGACGTGCCGCAGTTAAATTTCCATATATTTTTTTTCCATGTGAGGGTGTTTCTTGGCATATGACCATTTCCATAATTATTTGTTTCCTGAAAGGGGTGACAACTTTTCTATTGACATGTTTCCATAATTCTTTTGGCCATGGCTACAGTGCATGATTATGGCTACAGTAGCATCAGTGGGAGATCAAAAATAATAAACTGAATCTGGATTTTGTCCCAAAATCCTGCAAAAACAGTCAAAACTAGGTAGTTTGGAGGATCAGGATCCGATAAGTAAGATTTCCGAAATTAATTTTGCATCGTGGATTAGAGGCTTTTGTAGACATTTGTATACATTTGTTTCATCCTTTTTTTTGAAGGATCAAGATCCGAAAGCTGAATCTAGATTTACTGTAGTCCCAAGATCATGCAAATACGCTGCGAAGCAACTGGTTTGGAGGATCAGGGTCCGAAAGCTGAATCTAGATTTAGTCCCAAGATCATGCAAATAAACTGTAAACAAGGTGGTTTAGAGATGTTTGGAGGATCAGGATCCCAAAATTGAATCTGGATTTAGTCCCAAAATCATGCAAATTTGCTGTAAGCCAGGTGGTTTGGAGGATAAGGGTCCCAAAACTGAACCTGGATTTTGTCCCAAAATCATGCAAAAACAGTCAAAACTAGGTAGTTTGGAGGATCAGGATCCGATAAGTAAGATTTCCAAAATTAATTTTGCATCGTGGATTAGAGGCTTTTGTAGACATTTGTATACATTTGTTTCATCCTTTTTTTTGAAGGATCAAGATCCGAAAACTGAATCTAGATTTACTGTAGTCCCAAGATCATGCAAATACGCTGCAAAGCAACTGGTTTGGAGGATCAGGGTCCGAAAGCTGAATCTAGATTGTCCCAAGATCATGCAAATAAACTGTAAACAAGGTGGTTTAGAGATGTTTGGAGGATCAGGATCCCAAAATTGAATCTGGATTTAGTCCCAAAATCATGCAAATTTGCTGTAAGCCAGGTGGTTTGGAGGATAAGGGTCCCAAAACTGAATCTGGATTTTGTCCCAAAATCATGCAAAAACATTCAAAACTAGGTAGTTTGGAGGATCAGGATCCGATAAGTAAGATTTCCAAAATTAATTTTGCATCGTGGATTAGAGGCTTTTGTAGACATTTGTATACATTTGTTTCATCCTTTTTTTTGAAGGACCAAGATCCGAAAGCTGAATCTAGATTTACTGTAGTCCCAAGATCATGCAAATACGCTGCGAAGCAACTGGTTTGGAGAATCAGGGTCCGAAAGCTGAATCTAGATTTAGTCCCAAGATCATGCAAATAAACTGTAAACAAGGTGGTTTAGAGATGTTTGGAGGATCAGGATCCCAAAATTGAATCTGGATTTAGTCCCAAAATCATGCAAATTTGCTGCAAGCCAGGTGGTTTGGAGGATAAGGGTCCCAAAACTGAATCTGGATTTTGTCCCAAAATCATGCAAAAACATTCAAAACTAGGTAGTTTGGAGGATCAGGACCCGATAAGTAAGATTTCCAAAATTAATTTTGCATCGTGGATGAGAGGCTTTTGTAGACATTTGTATACATTTGTTTTATCCTTTTTTTGAAGGATCAAGATCCGAAAGCTGAATCTAGATTTACTGTAGTCCCAAGATCATGCAAATACGTTGCAAAGCAACTGGTTTGGAGGATCAGGGTCCGAAAGCTGAATCTAGATTTAGTCCCAAGATCATGCAAATAAACTGTAAACAAGGTGGTTTAGAGATGTTTGGAGGATCAGGATCCCAAAATTGAATCTGGATTTAGTCCCAAAATCATGCAAATTTGCTGTTGGAGGATAAGGGTCCCAAAACTGAATCTGGATTTTGTCCCAAAATCATGCAAAAACATTCAAAACTAGGTAGTTTGGAGGATCAGGATCCGATAGGTAAGATTTCCAAAATTAATTTTGCATCGTGGATGAGAGGCTTTTGTAGACATTTGTATACATTTGTTTCATCCTTTTTTTTGAAGGATCAAGATCCGAAAGCTGAATCTAGATTTACTGTAGTCCCAAGATCATGCAAATACGCTGCGAAGCAACTGGTTTGGAGGATCAGGGTCCGAAAGCTGAATCTAGATTTAGTCCCAAGATCATGCAAATAAACTGTAAACAAGGTGGTTTAGAGATGTTTGGAGGATCAGGATCCCAA